TTTGGAGGAGCCAGGATTCAAACCCAGAGCATTTGCTCTTCACCATTAGATCAACTTCTATAGGCAGACATGGGGAAGGCTACCCAAAAAGCAATGGCCTGGGGAGAAGTCACCTTCAAAGGGGCAGCCCATTTTGAAAGGCCAGCGCCTCTTCTCTCAGAGAGGATGAGCCCCAGAGCTGCAGAGAAGAGCAGATGGCAGCCCCTCTGGGGCGACCTCAGCCAGAGATGGATGGCAAGCAGAAAAGCAGCGACAAGGAGAGAATGAGATGGAGCAGGGCGAGAACAGCAGCACGGCAGAGGTAAGCCTAACGGACAGTTACTTTGTTGTTGCTGTTATTATAGAATTCATGTGCAATGCAAACGTTCAGGCAATACAGAGATATGTAAAGAAAACATTTTCTGATTTCCCCCAGGTATCTATTATTATAGAAATGATTAAAAAAATGAATGAGATGATCTTTACGTTGTTCGCCAACTTTTTTTTGCTAAATTACTGAATGGCAGGTTACAGTCTACATTGGTGGCGTTCATTTTTTTGTAAAGCTGTGTCGCACAGTTGTATTTTTTGAACCACTCTTGTATGGATTCTGAAATCTTTGCAATGAAGGTTATTGTTTTTGCAATAAGGGTCACAAACATGCAAAGGTTTTAAGAAGGATCAAGGACCACTCTTTGCCAGTCCTGACCCTAGTGCAGTAGTTTGCGGTAAGGGAGAGATTAACAAAAAGCAACAACCAAACCTACTGCCCTCAAGTTGCTGATTCATAGCGACTCTACAGGACCCAGTAGAACCGTCCCATAGCGCTTCGAAGGTTGTAAATCTTTCCAGAAGCAGTGACATACCTTCTCCTGCAAGCCATATGGTGGTTCAAACCATGGAGCTTTTGGTTAGCAGCCAAGCACAGGATTCCTTATTAAGGAGATTGGAATTTATAAACTGGGTGACTGATCATGAAGGTCGCTGTGGTGGTTAGATTTCACACCCACTTGATGGTACCTGTGTGGAGGTAATGGTGGAGTTCAAGCTGCCAATCAGGTGATAGCCTGGTGATGCCTCCTTGGGGGAGTGGCCTTTTAATAAGAGAGACAGTGTGAACTTTTCTCTCCTGGCCTTTCTCTCTGTTAAGCTGAGAGTTTGTGTCAGCCCCTGGAAGGCAACCTGGGAGCTGTTGGTGCCTTGCCATGTGCCCACTGACACCAGATCTACAAGACTCGGCACCCACCAGCCTGAGATCTCCTGGCTTCGCCTTTACTGTTCTGCATCATCAGCCTGCAGCTATGGGTGTCTGAAAGGGCTCCAGCTCAGACCATGGACTTGAGTTGGACGGGGCTGGGCTGCCTTCTTGATATAAAATTACCTCTTGATATAAAGTTGAGTGTCTTTGGTTTTGTTTCTCTAGACAACCCAGTTTAACAGTCACAATGCTCTGCACACTCTGGTCCATGTGGAGGATAGAACTTCAAGGGCATGGTTTGGCCGAGATGGCTACAGTCTTAGCCAAGTGCATATGGGGCTGCGAGAAAAGCACAGCAAGGGGTTTGATCCAGGGATCCTGGCTGGATTTCTGAGAGTCTACGAGTCCTGGTGGCATAATACTTATCGCTGGGCTGCTGACCATAAGGCCAGCAGTTTGAAACCAGGAGGAACTCCTTGGGAAGAAGATGAGGCTTTCTATTCCCATACAGATTTAGTCTCAGGAACCCATGGGGGCAGTTCTATTTTGTCTTATAGGGCTGCCACGAGTCAGGATCAACTCGACAGCAGTGAGTTTGGTTTTTCTTAAAAACCCACAGGAGTCCTAGTGGCACTATGAGATCAACATGGGACTGCTCACCACAGGTTGGTGGTTCAAACCCACTAGCTGTTCCCCGGGGAAAAGATGAGGTTGTCTGCTTCTATAAAGACTTACAGTTTTAGAAACCCTGTATAGAGTTGCTATGAATCAGAGTCAACTCAATGACAGTGGGTTTTATGGTTTTTGCTGTTGTTTTTTGATAACCTACAAAATGAGTCCTGGTTGTACTTACAGGGTAAACCCTGGGCTAATGGCAAGGTCAGCAATTCAACCCACCAGCTATTCTGTGGGAGAAAGACAGGCTGTCTGTTCTCATAAGAATTTACTCAGAAACCCTAAGGAGTAGTTCCACTCTGTCCTATAGGGTCATAAATGTCCTATAGATTCCAACTGTGTGTTGGAATCTACTGTATGGCAATTGGGTTTCGCTTGGATTTTTGGTATAAACCAAAGAGGATGTGAGGCTTGTGCATTGCTACCATGCATACCGTACACACACTCATTTTGTTAATCCCTTCTGGCCCACTTAGACTGGGGGTGACAGCGGGCCGTTGTGTTCGACACTGCTGATTCCCCACTGCCCGGACCAGAGTGTGGCACACCATACCAAATTCACTGTCAATAAGTCAATTCTGACTCATAGTGAGCCTGTATAGGTCAGGTGTGAACTGTCCCTGTGAGTTTCCACGACTCTTTGTGGAAATAGAAAGCCTCATCTTACTCTTGAGGAGAGGCTGGGGGCTTCAAACGGCTGACCTTGCAGTAAGTAGCCCAATGCTTAACCACTATGCCACCAGGGTTCCTGGTGGAGCACATCATAGGTGCTCAATAAACGTGTATTACATGAATGAATGACTGGTGGGTAAGGAAGCCTATCTGTAAGGCACAGGCAGAGGGGCAAAGAGGTAGTTTTGAGAGGCAGGAGGTATACCAGGGCACAGAGGTAGCAGGTGTCCGTGTGGGAGAGCCCAGGGAGAATGGTGCCCTGTTTAAGGGATCATTGAGACAGGCCCACATCAGCCGCCTGTCTCCTTATACAGATGAGTAAACAGGGTTGCTGCTTCACATTAGAAAGATGAGGCTACCTGTTCCTGTAAAGATGTACAAAGCCTTGGAAAGCTGATACAGGGTTGCTATGAATCAGAATCAAGTGGTGGGTGGTACTGTTGTGGGGGTGGGGCTCTATTAGCGTAAACTCTCTGACCAGTCATTTATTTAATTGCTAGATACATACCACTGCAATAAATCACGCGTCTGTGTATGCCCTCTGTGTGTAGTATGTGTGCAGGGTTACAGGCCCGGGTACAGAGTGTTCTCTCACTAGTGTCAGGCTCAAAGGCGGCATGGACGTGGTTGGCTCATTCCCACAGAGCCAGGCACCTGGCAGGTGCTGGCACGTGAATGGCTGGGTCCTCCAGGCTCCTCTGGACTCCCCAGCGCGGTCTGGGCCGCAGACGGGCAGCGAGTGATGGCCGTGTTACCTGCTGCAGCGAGTCCACGAACTGCTCGTGGCGCTCATCGTCGCTGCCGCGGGCCTTGATCAGGCTGGTGCACATATCCTCGCCAATCACTTCCGCCGAGTACAGGCTGCCGAAGACGCTGGTGAGCACGTACGAGATGTCTTGGGTGCTGAGCGAGGTGGCGCGAAGACGCTGCAGCTGCGGCTCCGCAAGCCCAGTGAAGTCCAGCGGCGCGACGCGACGATGGCCGCCGCCGCTGACGCCGCAGTGGAGGCCATCTGGGTAGAAGGACAGCAAGGAGGACTTCCAGGTGGACTGGCTGGGGCTGCGGGACCGCGTCAGAATCGTGGTTGGCCCCCATGTGGCCCTCCGGGACAGGTAGGACTCCCACTCTGCAACTCCGGGCTCGCTAGAGCTTTCGCTCTCCATAGCAACGGAGCGGCGGCTAACGCCGGGGTGCACTTCCGCTTCCGGTCCCGCCCCTTCCTCCTCGCCGCCCTCTAGGAAAACGTCGGCGGAGTGACGTCATCAGAATCGGCGGCGTCCGCGTCGCGTTCTTTAGGAGAGGCTTGCTAAGTGTGCAGTGCCAAAGGAGAAAGTGGCAGTGGCATGGCCGAGCCAGTGTAATAGCGAACCTTCTCCTGATCTACCAACACTTACACCCCATTGCTCAGCAAGTATGCCTTCACGCGCGTCACTAGGTATTGGGAAGAGATTGTTTCAGGTCGCCTGGGAGCTGGAGAGACCAAGATCAGTAAGATGCT